CTAAGGACTGAATCTTTAGTTACAACTCAAGCAAAGAATTAGGCATTACACAGTAGAACTGTGCGCTTTGGATTCCAAGGCAAAAAAGTTGTTGGTGTCTGAACACAGCAGCTGCCTGAAGTTCCTTAAAGCAACCGCCTGTTTTAAAGAGTTGCAGACTGCTGTTGCCTTCTTCCTTTGAAGCACTTTTTGAATCTGAAATGCTGCACATCCTTATTACACAGCATCCAAGAAATCTATTTTTTAAAAAAACGTATTATTTTTATCTTACCAGTTTTTCATCCTGTAAGAAGTTGAAGAAGAAGCCATAGAGTGCATTAACCTTTTCCTTATGATCAATAAAATCATACATTGCAATTAACCATTTTAAGAAAAGGACCTAATAGGGAAGAAAACAGGAATTGATCAGTTAATATGAAAATGATCAGTTAATATGAATATGGTTCATAGTATAAGTAGGTAGTGTTCAAAGCTAGTGTTCAGAGCAGAAAGATATCAACCCTAAAACATAAACATCAACAGGATAAGCCACATTGGTGAAAATATTGTTATTAATATCCAAGCCATCAGCACATACTTGTCAAGTTACCTGAGTACTGCGAGAACATTTGCCAACACAAAGCCATGAAACAGCTGAAACAACTGAATCCTCTGTTATTGCTGAAATGGGAATCAGGTTCTTCAACAGTCGAGTGTTTATCACTTCAGCTGGAAGACATTAATTTTTCATTAGGCTTAAATACTGAAATGCCCAAATAAGGTGTAATAACACAACAGGAGGGAGAAAGATAATATAATTTTTCTTTTTACCAAACTTGCCACTGAGTGCTATGTTCAGCAAGGCATCAATTTCTTCTGGAGTCAAGCCTCTTTCTTGGGCAATCTTTTCCACACTAGATAAGTGCTTCTGCAAAACTTCATTCTTCAGGGAAGTACGATCTTTAACTAAGAAAAATCAAGACATGAAAGTAGATCCAAGACTTCCTCATGAGTAGTGAGCATCTCATATGAGAGTCTGCCCACTTGCTTAGTTCACCATCAAGTTACATCCTCCCAAAATATGTATTTATTTAATTCAATTTTGAGGCTACCCAAGTCCTTACTGACTGGGCAACTTACAAGTAAAATAACACATATAGAAAAAGTCACAAGTGACCAGAAGATTAACTCAATACCAGTAAAAAAAAACCCCAAAACCAAAATATTTCCTAGAAAATGAAATTAGAAAAATAACCCTATTGGAAAAAGATACTTATTTGCTGTTTGCTCAGAAAGATGTCAATATATGCTATGATCAATAAAGAACATCTCACAATGATGTAACTATTGGCTTTCCCCAATTATGCAAGGCCTTTATTGAATGAACATTAAAACTCATGCTATCCATATATTTTAATAAGAATATACAGGTATACCACAGTATGTTTTTTTTTTTTAAGTATTTGAATTCTTATACACGTTGCCATACCAAGTTTTTGGAAACTGTCACAATCTAGACATGCATATTATATTGCTAATCCAAGATAAAGTATTTTATCATTTTTACAGCATTTGAATAAAACATCCTATTTAACACTAATTAAAATAAACAGACAACTATTAAGCTAAGATGTACACAGTAAAACTTTGTACTGTTAAAAACAATGCACTGCTTAAAGGCAGTATTGACACTCAGATATATTATCAGATTTATATCCCCTTTTTTTGATCCAGGAAGAGACACTTGGCAGATCTTATTTAGATGTAAGGATCATCTTCGTACAGATAGTCTCCAGTTTAAGAATGAGTTATGTTCCCAAGGTTTGTCCTTAAGTTGAATTTGTATGTAAGCTGGAACAGTATTATTGGGTAATTAACTCGTTGCGTATTTAACTTGAATTCTACAATAGGCTACATTCTTAACTATGGGTCGTCCTTAAACCAGGCATTCTTAACCTGGGGACTACCTGTACTAGGGCATTAAATGCTTGGCCCTGCTTTTATTCTTACTTTTCCTCAAAAAGTTCACTGCTTCTTCGAGAGGATCATGGCTGTGGCCTGTCTCTTCATTGGAAGACACTTTATGGTCTTTTTGTTCCTGGGTACTTTGGCTGACATTTGTTGCCAATGTGGATATATCAGTTTGTTTACTACAAGCAACTGGTAAATTCTGCTTTTGCTTTTTAGCAATTACTCCTCTCTTCATCCTTTTCAATTCCAAGCAAAGGAATACAAATAGGTCCTGTTATTGTCATTTGCCAGAAATAATGCTGTCTCCAACAATGTTGAACTGTGGCATCCACATTGAAAGAACTACCTAGAAACAACAGAAAGCCACCTTAAGAAGATTATAAACTTACAACAGTGGTATGATAAAAGCAACTACAAGAATGCATTTCTGAACAAAGTAAAAAAAAAACAACTGGAGATAAAAATGTTTTGTTTTCTTTGTAGAGGAAGTCTGAAGTTACATCTATATACTAATGCTATTGTCACAAAAATACAATGTCCACATATTTTATTTATTAAAACAATTCTATCCTAATATCAACATTAATAGTGCAGCCTTCTACAATTGCCCTTATCCCCAGTAGGCGCATTATGATAACTGTAGTCCTAATATATCATTTATTTCTACAATTTATATACAATTCCATTTTTCAGAGACTCTGAGCAGCTTACAATATTAGTATAAAAAGACTAAAAACAATTATCACTTAATATAAATACATCCAAAAGCACCAAATTGGGTAAGACCGCTGTAATGGGAGCATTATTTCAAATGAATTAAACTTTGGCAGACATAATTCAATGGATGCCAGAGCTGTATGTCCTAGTGCAGATAAATAGGGCTACCTCTGTGAAAAGTTTCTCACAATATGAGCATTTTTCAGAGGAAAAGTAGTGTTAACATGGGGCAGCAAAAATACTACAAGACTACTGCAAATAATTTTTATAAATTAAAAAAATATATATTTGGCTTTAGTTTATGAGCATTACAGCACACCCCATCAGATGCATGGAGTATTATCTTGAGAGAAGGGTGTATGTTTACACACCCTTGTGGTGATGTTGACAGCATGCATGTAAAGAATTGCAAAAAGAAGTCAGAGGAAAACAGCATACAAAGCAGGGTTTCCCAAGGCATGAGGTGCACCTCCCTTAGGAAGATGCAAACAGAGTCCAGGGGAGGTGTGAAGAACCTTTTAGTTACATTGTCACAATAAATTGACCTTACCCAAAGTTTTATTGTCTTGTTTTCATTCTTCATTTGTGTTCATTTTAGTGTCTGGATTTTTAAGGAAGGTGTGTACATTAAGATTACATTAAAGGGAGATGTGATGGCAAAAAGTTGAGGAACCCCCGATATAAAACATCCTAGCATGAAACCCTGACAGGATTTCATGGGCTATTGTTTTTAACTGTTTGGTTTTTAAACTTTCTCTGCAGCCCAGAGTCCCTGTTGTGGGATGGGTGGCTGCATTAATTAATTAATTAAATATCTCCTAGTGCAGCCATCCCAGTGGGTTGGGGTACAAGATCCTTTCACCTCCTCCTGGTCAGTGGATGATGGGAGCTGTAGTACACTCTGGAGAGGCACCAGGTTGGGAAAGGCCACTTCACGCTGCAAGGATGAGGGTGGTGAGAGACAAAAAGGGGGCTGGGCTGTCCTCAACCCACCTTTCTCATGACTTTTTTTTCCTCCTAAAAAAGAAACAGGGTCCGCGATAGCTCACGGTGGGCGAGTCTGAAGGACCCGAAGAACCAGAAACCAGCCGACCCCATTTTCGACTCTGGGGCTGACCCCGGCCCGCC